TAAATTTAAAAACTTAAATTTAGTTTTTCCTTTAGATAATTGTCATGTTATTAGTTTTGTATTTACTGCCATCCGGTAAATTAAAACCTTTTGAGCATATACCTGTTTTACTTTAATGTAATAGTTTCATTCAAATTTATTTTACATGAAAAAGACGTTAATGGTAATTTAACAACCAAGCTCTATGATAAAAGTGATGATTTTAACTTTTCTATCGTCAACTTCCGCGCGCGGCCTAACTTATGCAGCAAGATACCTTCGTCACCTGCATATGGAGTTTATATATCTAATTTGATTCGGTACACAAGAGCATGCTCTACGTATGCCCTATGTATGAACAATTTCTAAAACTAGGTAACTTATTGACAAACAAGTTCATGAAACAAGAATTTCAGCAGTCACGTTTAAATTTATCACTTCATAAGTTCTATGGTCGATACAATGACCATGTCAGCTAATTCAATGAGTAAAATGCTGACTGACGTTTTTCATACAAATTGCTAGCCCATTATTTATAAACTGAATTGACGACTGATTTTTCCGTTATTTCCCGATTATGACAAGGAGCACACGGCGGGTGTGACTGGTCGGCAGGGGATGCTTACTCCTCCATGGCACCTGATCCCACCTCTGATATTTTGGAGGTCCGTGTTTGTTCTGCTCTTATTTTGTATTGTTCATGGACTTTTGATCTTAAATACTGTTCGTTATCTCAATATGTTTCATTCCATAATTTCAATTACAGAAAAGTTAATTTTGGTAGTCATGATGTAAATATACTGCCCTCCTGTAAATTCAAAACTTACAAACTGACATAAAGTTTATCTGATCAATCTCATGCTCAATTGATCCTCTATTTTCTCGTCTGGCAAAACGAAATTATAAAACTTTTATTTCGTCTATTAAAGAAGACAGGGTATAGATTGTAAATTAGTTTGAGTGAATTTCTGGCTTTAGGGGCCACTAAAACAGATAAATTCTTTCGAGGCTAGCAGATTAGAATACAAACTATTTTTTCAGAATGTTTTGGAGGAGCGACTTAATAAATGGAAAAATATGTTTCCCCGTGATATATTGACAATATCACCCTGACTTACATTAAGAAAAGTGTTCACTCAGTGTTTTATTCATTGAGATGTCATTTATATAATAATTTAATATATATCTAATTTTAGAGGTCCCTTATGTATCTCTATAAAACATGTCAAATTTAAATGCATTAGAGTTCAATTTGAGTTTTGGCTTTTAGACATTCTGCACAATTTTTTGTACTGCAAACAATTTTTATTCGTTCACGCATTTTGCAAGATCACAGTATTCTGTCGTATTCACGTCTTCTTTTCACATATAAGATCTTCAAATTCTGCTTATCCAATATAGGTTTGCTTATAAAATAAAGAGGCAAAATTGGTACGCATGGGAATTCAAGTATATTGTTGGAAAACCTCGTCTCAAAAATCCTCATAGACATTGTCAATCACAAACTCAAGCATCTATTCAATATCCTCATTAAATATTGTATGGTGATGTCAAAAAGCACTGACTTCAATTTATCGTGGGGAATTGTTGTATATAAAGTTGAAAAGTCGTAAGTTTTTATGCTGTTGATTTTATATTGTTGGTTTTTGCTAAAGTTTTGTGATTTCAATTTTCAAAAAGATTCTTGGAATTTTTAAGTATCCATATCTGATTTACACCATTTCTCGAATATATTGTTGTTCAAGTGTCTCGTTCATTATTGTTAATATTTTAGTGAGGAGTATGGCAAGCCCTTTTACTATTTATTCGGAAAATAAATTTTATCTTCAAATTACAGAGATATCTCTCATTTTAGAGAGATATCTCTTAAAAAATAGAGATATCTCCCAACTGAAAGAGATATTTCTTATTTCTAAGAGATATCTCTATAAGAAAGAAATATCTCTTAAAGTTAGAGAGATATCTCTTATACTTAGAGAGATATCTCTTTTACTTTAAGAGATATCTCTTACTCCTTGAGAGATATCTCTTTCGTGAAAAAAGATATCTCTGAACGTTAAAAGATATCTCTTTCACATAAAGAGATATCTATTTCACCTAGAGAGATATCTCTTTCACTTTGAGAGATATCTCTTAAAGTAAAAGAGATATCTCTCTAAGTTTATCTTAAGAGATATCTCTCAAAATGAAAGAGATATCTCTCAAAAGTGTCTACAAGAGATATCTCTCAAGCAAAAAGAGATATCTCTTTATTGCAAAGAGATATCTCTCTTCATTATTTTTATTTAAATTCCATTTGAAATTACTTCTCCCTTTACCGGAAGTATTTCAAACGCTGAGAAAACTCGGTCCAAGTGCTTGTCACGTAACTCGCGGGGTTCCTCACTAGTCACTTCCGGGGTACCTAACACATGCCTGACATGGATTTATTATTGAGTTCAGCATGTTTCTTGTTTACGCAAAGCTTTCGGGGAATGCTAAATAGTTTTACAAAGCGGAATGTGTATCTCCGAATCAACTATATACGAGTTAACTTTTTGTTTTGTTTATTTCAAGAGTTATTTCCCGCAGTTTGGCAAGCGCCATATTTTACACATGTATGTGCAATTGTGACTTTGTAGCCCTATAGTGTAAGTACACTCTCATTTGATATAATATTAAGATCTAAGAATTCATGTGTAAACACGCAAACCTTGTAATGTCAAATGTTTCAGCAATTTTAAGTATTATTTTTGCATTGTCAACATGATCATGACCTGGTTTTTAGCTCACCTGAGCCGAAGGCTCAAGTGAGCTATTCTGATCAAAATTTGTCCGTCGTCTGTCGTCGTTGGCGTTGGCGTTGTCGTTGTTGTTGTTGTCGTCGTTGTAAACTTTTCACATTTTTGACTTCTTCTCAAGAACCGCTGGACCAATTTCAACCAAACTTGCTACAAAGTATTCTTGGGTGAAGGGGATTCAAGTTTGTTCAAATGAAGGGCCACGCCCTTTTCCAAGGGGAGATAATCATGAATTTGTTAAAAATTAATGGCATTTTTAAAAAATCTTCTTCTCCAGAACCGCTGGGCCAGGAAAGATGAAACTCATATGAAAGCATCCTCAGGTAGTGTAGATTCAAATTTGTTCAAATCATGCCCCCCGGAGCAAGGGTGGGGCCAAAATGGCCGACCCAAGTTTTACATAGGAATATATAGGAAAAATCTTTAAAAATCTTCTTCTCCAGAACCACTGGGCCAGGAAAGATGAAACTCATGTGGAATCATCCTCAGGTAGTGTAGATTCAAGTTTGTTCAAATCATGCCCCCCAGGGCAAGGGTAGGGCCAAAATGGCCGACCCAGGTTTTACATAGGAATATATAGGAAAAATCTTTAAAAATCTTCTTCTCCAGAACCACTGGGCCAGGAAAGATGAAACTCATGTGGAATCATCCTCAGGTAGTGTAGATTCAAGTTTGTTCAAATCATGCCCCCCGGGGCAAGGGTGGGACCAAAATAGCCGACCAAGTTTTACATAGGAATATATTAGAAAAATCTTTAAAAATCTTCTTCTCCAGAACCACTGGGCCAGGAAAGATAAAACTCATGTGGAATCATCCTCAGGTAGTGTAGATTCAAGTTTGTTCAAATCATGCCCCCCGGGGCAAGGGTGGGGCCAAAATGGCCGACCCAATTTTTACATAGGGATATACAGGGAAACCTTTTAAAATCTTCTTTTCAAGCACTTCAAAGCTATGATTAGTGATATTTATAAGGAATCATCCTCAGGTAGTGTAGATTCAAGTTTGTTCAAATAATGAACGCCTGGGGGGGGGGGGGGGGGGGGGGGGGGGGGGGGGGGGGGGGGGGGGGGGGGGGGGGGGGGGGGGGGGGAGTAAATTCAAGCCTGATGTGCTCAGGTGAGCGCTGTGGCCCCTGGGCCTCTTGTTTGTGTAAGGCTAAGCACGTGGTTTGTGTTCAGATCATTTTCGGAGATTTATACCATCTACTAATCTAGTCACTGTATGTTATACTTGAGTATGTATATTTATAAGGATAATTTGATGATTTCTTGCCGATTTATTACTACTTTCTTGTGTTTATTGTTTAGTAGTAGATCGCTGTTAATAGTAAAAGTATGGAAACTCGGTTCGGTCATAAACAGGTTGGGCACAGTTCCTTTTTCGGGGAAGTATTACTGTAAAAGGGAACTATTACTCTTTTCAGTAACAAAAAACATTACTGAATTCGGGAATTTTCACTCATTTGGTCTCTTTTCTTGTGCTTGTTTTTAATAAAAGATAAAGTGCAAGAATATTTTCATATCCTCTAAATATTTATTGTCTATTAAGTATATGTGTGCTCAAAACTGCAATATTTATGGCTGCAAAAAGCTGAAAAAGAGTGATGAAATATTTCTATGATATAGATTTCTTACGGTAGCTTACCTGTGTTAAAATTGTGATAATGGATACGTTCAGCACTTGCTAACTCGTTCATGAGATTATTCGTTCTAATTTAATATTATACTATTTCTTTAAATGAAATCGTAATAATAATTTTGAATATCATTTCTTCATTTACAGATGAAAATAATTATTTGAAATATTAAATTTTAAATGATATTCTTTTAAAATTGTCCTGGAATGAATGCCCTCATTAGATTCCATACTTTTGGTACCATTATCAACAGGGACAATTATTAAATCTCATTTTACTCTTGTCTGCAGCGATGGAGGTCCGAATTTTTCAGTCAGCGAGGTTTGTTTGATAAAGATAAAACACATTACACTGTATGTTTTATGCACTTTTTATTTAATAAATGGATTAGATGCATTATTTAAAAAATGTGACAAAAATTCCCCAATTGAGTAATGTTTTTATTACTGAAAAGAGTAATAGTTCCCTTTTGTAGTAATACTTCCCCGAAAAAGGAACTGTGCCCAACCTGATAAATGTTACATAATATAGTCAATATTTTATGTCAGTCATTTTGTATGTTATTTCTAATCACTTTTTATGTAATTTGCAGTCTTTACTGCACCAATACTGAATAAAGGAGATGAAGCCTTCTCAAAAACTGTTCCAGTATAGAATGGTTTATCGACTTATGATGTCATAAAAACTTGGGTGCGAGCGTCCACCAGGAAAATTTTGATCGAAGTACAGGTAAAGAAATCAGAGTGTCATCCGTTTCTTGTTTATTTTGAGGAAAAATTAGGTGTTTTATTCTCAGCCGAATGAAATAGTTTTGTAATCATCTTTTGCCTTAATTTGTTAACAGAATTTTCTTGAATCCGAGGACGATAATGTTTTTATCAGCTGATTGTAGAGGAGGAGTTTTGTCAGTGTTCGATGGGTACTAACGTCATATTGTGGCTGCATCACTTTTGTTTGGGTAAATATTTTTTTAATATATGTATTTTTCAGTAAAGTTTTACCATTCGTATGTCTGTGGATTAACGTTTTGTGCATTCAATGTTTGTAGCAATTTAGATCTTTTTGAGTATTTCACGAGATTTTCTGTTCATATTTTTTGCCCAAAGGGACTTGTTTCAGTACTAAATTTTTAACCCACAGTATACATGTTATAACACAAGGTAGCTCGCTGAGTGGAAAACTTAACCATGGAACGGTATGTGCTGATCCCGCACAGAGATTTTGATTAGATAAAAATCTGTTTCTAAAATGACATCAGATAAACATCTTAATGTTTTCAGGGAAAATTAGACGTAAACAAGTTCTATTTACTCACTTCAATATTTAAACAATGGAATGAATTTTTAAAACCAGTGATTTTTTATTAATTTTGCTCTTTGCCCGAGACTAGAACATACGATTCTATGGTTGAGTTTGACTTTCCACCCAGCAAGCAGAGTTTTGATGCTGATTACGGAGATAAAAGAAAATAGAGACAAGCATGCCATATATGGGTGTGTAGATAAAATATCGTACTCCTGTAATTTGGAGTTAGATACCTTGTGTTATTATTATACTTTAGGTCAAAAATTTATTACAGAAGCTGCATTTAACAAACTTCAGATCTCTACATTAACATGACCATATTTTTATGCCCCCGTAAACGAAGTTTCGGGGGTATATAGTTTTTGTCGTGTCTGTTTGTCTGTCTCTCTGTCTGTCTGTCTGTCTCTCTGTTTGTCAGGTTTGTCCACAAAAACTTTAACCTTGCCCATAACTTTTGATTAAGTGGAGCTATGACTTTCATATTTCATATGTGTATTCCTTGTGACAAGACCTTTCTTTGGGTACCACCAAATTTGACCTTTTGACCTTGACCTTGGAGTTTGACCTACTTTTACATGAAAATTTTAAAATTTTACTTTGGCCATATCTTTTGAACAGAAGACACCAGGACATTTATACTTCACATATGTAATGTTTGTTAAAAGACCTTTCACTGGACACAAACAACCTTGACCCTTTGACCTTGACCTTGTAGATTATTGTATCTGTGAAAAAACTTTAACCTTGACCATAACTTTTGAACGGTAAGGGATAGGGCTTTCATACTTCATATGTGTAATCCTTGTGAGAAGACCTTTCATTGGACATGAAGATCCTTGACCCTTTGACCTTGACCTTTGAGATTGACCTACTTAAAAAAAGCAAACCTTGACCATAACTTTTAAAGACTACGGCCTAGTGCTTTCATACTTTACATATTTAATCCTTATGACAAGACCTTTCATTTGATAACAACAACTTTGACCCTTTGACCTTGACCTTGGAGTTTGACGTACTTTTTAAGAAAAATTTTAAAATTTTACTTTGGCAATATCTTTTAAACAGTAGTCACCAGGACATTTATACTTCACATATGTAATGTTTGTTAAAAGACCTTTCACGGGACACCAACAACCTTGACCCTTTGACCTTGACCTTGTAGATTTCCGTATTTGTGAAAAAAACTTTAACCTTGGCCATAACTTTAGAACGGTAAGGGATAGGGCTTTCATACTTCATATATGTAATCCTTGTGAGAAGACCTTTCATTGGACATGAAGATCCTTGACCCTTTGACCTTGACCTTTGAGATTGACCTACTTAAAAAAAAGCAAACCTTGACCATAACTTTGAAAGACTTAGGGCTAGTGCTTTCATACTTTACATATTTGATCCTTATGACAAGACCTTTCATTTGATAACAATAACTTTGACCTACACCTTTGAGTTTGACCTACATTTCAAGAAATTGAACGTTGACCATAACTTCTGAACGGTTAGGGCTAGGACTTTCATGCTCTACATAAGTATTTTATGTGGCAAGACCTTTCATTTGATACTAATTACATTGACCTTTTGACCTTGACCTTGGAGATTTTTGTACTCATTAAAAAACGTAAACATTAGCTTACTTTCAAATTTCACAATTGTTTTCCAGTGAGAATACCCTACTTTTTGTACGAATTAATTAAATTTGCATTTAAGAAAAGCTTAATCTTTGCTATGTTGCCATACGGGGGCATCAGTGTTTTACAAACACATCTTGTTCACTTTAGAGACAGAGTATGTTCCCTATTTATAGAACATGGTTTAGGGATTTTGAAATTTTCTGTCTGTTCAAATTCATCCGCATGGCACAGTGGTTAGAGCGTCTGCTCTAGAGGCGCAAAGTTAGGAGTTGATCCTTACGTCCTTGGTTTGAATCCCACTGTGGGATGTGGAGACTTGTCCTTGGAATGATACAGTATAAACTGTGGCCCAATCTCACAGTAGATATTGGCTCAAAAAAGATCCCTCCCTGCTCAATGGCCCTGAGTGCCTCATTGACTTTTTTATTGCTAAATCATTTAAATAAAAACAACATATCACCTCCCTCATAATTTTCTGAGGTTTTGTACAATGTAAAAAGCTGCCTCATCATGTTTTAGGGATAATAAAAAGTAAAAAAAAAAAAAAAAAAAAAAAAAAAAAAAAAAAAAAAAGGCTCCCTCCCTCATCATATTTCTTGAAAAAAGGCCTGAGAACCAAGGAATTAATTTTGCATGGCCTAATACTTAAATAACTTTATTGCATCAATAAATAATGGCTTACTATCTTGTGATCTTGAATATTAAATGAACTCTTGCAACTAATAAAAGAAAATTTTCTAAACAACTTCCTTCTACTGGGTATATTACCAAGTAAAATAATTCTTTTGGATATTTTGTAATCTATTTCAATGACACTAAACCATTGTACAAATTCATTCCAAAATTCTGTCCCATTTATATACACAATCATAAAATAAGTGAATTATTGTCTCTCTTTCAATATTACAGAATGCACATACACTATTTTCTGACAGCTTGCCTTTATGAGAAAGGAGTTGGTAGCAATATAATTCATCAGTAATCGATATTGAAAATAAATTATTTTTATGCCCCGCCATGAATATGGCTGGGGCATATAGTCCGCCATGAATATAGCTGGGGCATATAGTGTTTGTCATGTCCGTCTTTCCGTCCTTTCGTCACACTTTGCGTTTAGCTCTGTTCAATGCTCATTTTCAAAGAAACTATCCAAGATAATTATTTTCATCAAACTTCATAGGCTGATAGATGTTGATGAGGGCTGAACAACTGCATCAACATTCTTTGACCTTGACATTTCCTTTGACCTTGACCTCACTTTTCTTAAATTAGTGTTAAACTCAGTTTTAAAGATACCATTCAAAAAATTTTGATCAAATTTCATATGTTGATACAGTTTACACGTGTACTGATGAGAGCTATTCAATTGCATCAATATTTTTTACCTTGACCTTTCCTTTTGACCTCACTCTTCCTAAATTAGTGTCAAACTTTATATGCTAATACATACTGATGAGAGCTATTTATTTGCATCAACATTTTGACCTTGACCTTTCATTTGACCTTGGACTCACTTTTAACAAATTGAGATTAAGTTAAATTTAAAGAAACCATTCATTATATTATTTTTCAAATTTCATATGCTGATACATAATGATGAGAGCTTTTCAACTGCATTAACATCTTTGACATAGGTCCTTCCTTTGACCTAGAACTCGCTTTTCTCCAAAAAGACAATTAGCGTTAAAACGTCATATGCTGAATTGCTGATGCATACTGATGTAACCAATTCAACTGCATCACTTTTCAAGATATTCTGAAATTTCACACAGTTAGGCCTAGAAAAAAAATATGTTTGTTTCCGCTTTCCCGACCGACCCTAATTTATAGTGCCAACCCTAAATATTTTTTAAATGCTTTTGTCCCATGGTGTGCAAGATTTCATCCAGGGAATTATAGTCTCAAACTTTGCAAGCTTTTCAAGACCGAAAGAATTTTGGGTCACCTTTCTATTATCAGTTTAAGTCACAGAAATGCTTGAAAACACCATTTCTTTTGTCAGTTTAATGTAATTTCTATACATGTTTAGATTTTTTGATTAAAGAAGCAAAAAAAAATTCTTTCAAAAAAAAAAATGTTGCCTACCTACCGACCCTATATTTTTTCAGCCTGAAAGCGGAAACAAACATATTTTTTTTCTAGGCCTTACACAAATTCAAATTTTCATGTTGCATTACTGATTAGATATACCCTTGGCGGGGAATTCATGTTCTATGGACATATTTCTATTTGTCTCTTTTGTGAATAATGATGCATTTATGAAGAAGAATTTCCATTCTTTTTCTGAGATTGACTCATCTAGTAAAGTTTCCCACTTTTCTTTTTATATGCCTGGATCTGAGGTGTATATTGCTTTTGTCCTGTCTGTTGGCAACTTTAACCTCTGCCTTAACTTTTGAACCATGAGAGAGACTTCATATTTAATATGCATACTCCACTAATTAACTTCTTTCAAAAGACACCAAGGCCAATGACTTGTGACCTTGACTGTGACCTATATGCTAAAATAGCTTATTTGAACTTTATCTAAAACTTTTGAATCATTAAAGATAGAGACATCATATTTTGGATGCGTTCTCCACTAATTAAGCTCTTTCAAATGACACCAAGGTCAATGACCTTGTGACCTTTACTGTGACTTTATTGCTATTATACCATTTTGAACTTTCGCCATACATTTTGAACCATTAAAGATAAAGACTTCATATATGATATGCATACTCCACTTATTAAGCTCTTTCAAATGACACCAATTTCAATGACCTTGTGACCTTGACCTATATGCTAAAAATAACTTTCGAATTTGTAAAAATGTTGTCGCCAGGTGCAAAGTGTTTCACAAACAAATCTTGTTTTGAAGGAGTTTTAATATCAATTCTCTGTAATTATCAAAATTGGTTGGCCACGCATAGAAAAACATTTTGATTTTTTTATAATAATTTTAAACAGCTATGTCATTAATTGTAAAATCTAAAGTGGGTTTATGAAATAGACCCTTGGTTACCATAGAAACGGGGTGCAAAAT